AGCAGGAATTCTCATTGTCCTTTGGGATTCTACGTGCTGGCTCCCATCTTCGATATTCTGGGAAGATGATATGCGTTTCTGCTGGAATTCTCTTTAAACAAAATAAATGCTGAAGTTCATTTAACTCTTAATATTCTGCAGGCTGTGTCTGCAATACATCCACAGATGCTTTAAACGTTTATTTTTTTTTTTTTTTTCCAAATTTTAGATAGATGTTTTTCTCCCCCCACAAAGAGTCTTTGAAATTATGGCTGTGTGGATTGCATGCAGGAACTTTTGAGTCTTCTAAGATTAGATTTCATATCTGAGCTTTCCCAAAACTATATTGCCCCAAAGCTGATTACAGTCATGTATGGTACAAGCTGATATGTCAAAAGCATTTCTCTGCTTTGTGAGAACTAATTAAATGGAGTATCTTTGCTATGAAGAATGAGAAATTGATTTACTTGCTAATGGTAACTTCAGTATTTGTACATTTTTAGATCTGTTACTATTTTGGGGACTTTGTGAAAGGCTTTGTGATGGGCATGGTTCAGGAATAGTGGTGTCTGATACTGCAACAGCAGTTAAGGTTGAGCAGCTTACACAGAAAAAAGTGAATTTGTTTTTTAAAACTCAAACATTTAAAATAAACAAAGCTAATTTAATGTGGATAATTTTAAAATACTTTTGTGTAACTTTGAGGGTAACATGATGTTAGGGAAGGCAGGATTTCTTAAAAACATATTTATCACCTTCAGTCATATTAGTCTAACTTGTGAGAGTTTAATTTCAAAAACAGTTCCTGCAGGTGCTAATCTTCGTTATGAATTGGCTTTGAAACTTAATTCGGTAGTCTCTGCGGTGTGGTACTGGTGCTGAAAAGCTGTAGATGAGGGAGACCTAAACACACAGTAAATCTTGCAGAGTTCTTGGTGTCCTACAATACCCAAGTTTAGTGTATTTGAAATCTTTTGCCAGCGTGCATCAGTATGTAATGTTAGCACTTGGCAAACCTCTCCCACTCCAAATTCAATATGTACTGTATTAAAAACTGAGATTTGTACATCATGTACTGAAGGTAAGTCTTCAGCAGCTATTCTCTTTGTTACAGGGGGAGAAGGAGAACATTTGTAGGTATTTTTTGAAGGGTGTGCAAACTGAAATTAGTAACAGAAGGTCCCATCAGACCTATTTGTCATGTTATCTGCATCATCATTTCTGGGTTGACTGACACAGATCAAGAACACTTTCATTTTTCTCTTAAACTCTTTTGACAGCGGGCAACAAACTGTAAGGCTGGCGCTGTAGTTGGCAACTTAATCTGCAGAGGGAAGCCTTTTAACCAGCCAGATAGATGTGTTCTCTGGGATTCCAGTTTGTTCCTTTGATCCCAGAGACAAATAATTCATTAACACAGTATGTGGGAATTGGCTAGTAATGCTTAGTAAAGCAAGTGTCAGCAAAACTAAATTTCTCCAAGTTTTCTTTTAGCATACTGTTAATGGTACAGTAATGAGATGGTGAATGAGCTATTGGAAAAAAATTAGCTGATAGAAATTATTTTTGTCAATAGATTAACCTAGTACATTTGAAGACATTAAGAATATATGTAGATGGCTGTAACTCTATTTTGATTTGCTTCCAATGCTTACATTTTTGTACAACATAATGTTTAGGAGAAGAAAGTATTTAATTTAATTTTAGTCTTAACTTTCTTCTAGAATAATGTATTTTCTGGTAGTGGAATGACAAGGAGGAACACTTACGTTTGTGAACGTTCTTCAGATCGCTATTCTGCAATACAGAATGGGAAGGACAACAGGTATTCTTCAACTTTTCTTGCTAATTAATTTGGGTACAAGAGCTGAAGCACAGAAGCAGCGGGTTATGCAATTAATACCATTATGAAGCATGGTGTGAAATATGTCAAATCCAACTGTATGTTTTCATCTTGTCTTCCACTGCAGTTTCTGTTTGTGATGAAATTTACAACTAACTGTGTAGCTCTGCCTTTGCCTCTTTTTACGGAGCCTGATCCTTTTTCATTTCTACCACAATCGCTCAAAGTTGAAATTGTTAAGACTTGTCGATCCTTTTTGATATCAGGTTTTGGCCTAAATAATATTTTAGTAGTGATGGTAACCAATATGTCTGTATGTGAGATGATAATTACACTCAATTTAGTATGTTTTGTGAAACACATTTAACATTGCCACAATTACTTTTTTTTAAAATGTTCTTTGTTTATCCTTGGTGTTAGTTAACACTTGTACCTGACTGAAAAATAAAACACAGGCTTTAATGGAGAGTAGTAAAAACTGGATTTTTTTTTTTTTCATTTAAAGCAATAGATCCTACTCTGATAGTTTTTTTTAAAGCTGTTTAAATGAAACAGTTAAGATAAAATGAACCAAAAAAATCCCTATCATGAAATGACTATCTAGTAAACCTACTAAATATCTAGTAAACTTGAATATCTAGTAAACTTGTTTGGTTTTGTTTTCTGTCTTAGTGTTTGAATTTTTTTAAGATGCATTTAATTTTGGAAATAGGAAAAGTATAGAGCTGTTTGATCTCTATTAAAACGATGAGCTATGGAACATGTAAAGTACAGCTATTTAAACTGCTTTAAGGAGGTAGATTAAAAAGCAGAAAACTAATTTTCAATATTTAATTAATTTCAAATTATTAGATGCGTGTTTTCAAAAGTGTCTTTCCAAACTTTTGTGTGTAGTTTAAAATATTTGAACAAAGTTTGTAACAATCCTTTTTAAAAAAGAAAGAAAATAACATTTTTTAGATTTAGGCTTAAAGTATATACTAAAATAATTTTTCTGATCTCACAAAGATTGATAATGTTTTTCTTTCAATAGATTTAATACCAAAAACACTATAAGGAGAAGGGATTTTATTTCAAAGCTTTTCATTTAACTGTTTAGATTTAATTTTTTTCTGTAGTATTGAAAAGACAGACAACTCTTAATCCCTGTTCCTTTCATGAGTGCAATGAATACACTCAATTCTTTGAGCACTTTCTAAAAAAATTAAGGAGAAGAATTTTCTTTTGAGTTGTATATTTACCTTTCCTACAATACATTGTGTTGCAGTTGAATTTGGATTTGGTGTAGGTGAATATTTTGTGTCATAAGATTATTCATCCGAAATCTTTACCTCTTTGCTACAGAAATTATTTAGCTTTGGGACTGTTGTTGCTAATATATTATTAATGCAATTTAGTTTATGCTTGTAGAGGCAAAGCTGTAGTTTGACTTAAGTCAGTTGACTTTTGTTTTAAAAATTAATAACGTAATAGTTTTGCCACTACTTTCATCTCTTCCTCGCCACTTAGGTGAAGCAGAAATAAAAGTACTGGTCGAAGGAACTGTATTTTGAAAGGGTTGGCTCATCTTAGTAAGGGCTGGGACAGTCCAGAGGAGAAGTACTATTTTGTCCTTTAAAAACACAGTCCCTTCCAAGTGATAATGTGACAGCAGTTCCAAATGTTTGAAGTTTTAGGTGTTTAAGTTTTAACTGAAAATCTTCATGAAAGGAGAGTCTGTCTAATCAATCTGTTTAAGTCTCTTTCTGAATTTCTTTTTCAGTATTTTTTACAATTTTCATATACTGTTTGTAGTCTTTCTTCATTACTTTGAATAATGTGTGTGTCAGCTTTAATTTTGGGAGGAATGAAAAGGCCTAACTTAACATATATGGTGATTTGATTTATGGATGAACATAATTTTCTCAGAATTCTCTATTCTTTACGTTGGCCGACTAAGGCAGCCTGGTCACTCGGTCTTCTGGTTATTTAAACAGCATTTGCTGTGTTCTAAAAGAAAAAAATTAGTTGTTATTTTCCCTGTTTTCCGCGGGGGTGTTAGACTAACTTTTCCCTTTGTATTTGTCCGTCCCTCCTGCCTTGCTGCCATGGTAAAAGCCTAACAGAAATGTCTGCCAGTAGCACATCTTCTGCGGGCTCTGCAGTAGCTTCCGCTGTATCAACACGGCCTCGACATCAAAAGTCTATGTCTGCCTCTGGTCATCCTATCAAAGTTACACTGCCAACCATCAAAGATGGCACTGAAGCGTATAGACCAAGGTAATAAATTGATCACTCTTTCTTTAATGCTGTGCACTTTAAAAATGTTGTTGTTCAGTTTGTGTTATACTTCAATATGTTTATAATCTATTCAAAACTGTCATGTTGCATACTGTTTCGAAACCGTAACTCACTCAAGGAATGTGGGTATTACAGACGATTTAAGCCTGATTTTTGTTCATCACTCATGTTTGCATACAGTTAAAGAAGTTCCTTGACTGCCTCCCTCTGGAAGCTTCTGGAAAACTTAAGTAGTTAAAAATTTAACTAATTTAGACAGGACCATACAGCAGGCCACCATAAATTCAAATGAAATACTGAATTTATAATAACCAATTTATTGGTTTTGTAGATTGGTCGGCTCATTTCTGTCTAAAAGCACCATAGTATAGTTGCTCTTACTATTAACTGCCCAAATAGTTTTATACATTTGTTTGTGCCAGATGATTACTTCTTAAGAAATACCTGTTAAGTTTTTGGAGTGCTTTTGTGTTAAAGGTTTTGTCGAACAAATTTTTCCGAAAGAGGGCTGGGAACACTTTCAGATCTTACTACAGACTTTTCTACCTTTTACCTTTGTCCTATTATTTGTGTATACTTTTTTAACTGCTCTTAATACTTGAGATAATTTGATTTTACAATGAAAATATCTCTTGATTACTTGTAAGTATGAATCATAGAAGCAAATCAGTAGCAGATTCAGGTTTTAAAATAAAAAAGAATCAAGAGCGGGGGTGTTTTTTTTCCTATCTTTGAGAAATGGTTGTCATGTAGGAGGGATTCTAGCATAGTCTTTCTCTTTATTTATGCTTCTGTTTTCCCAGCAGTGCAACTCAAAGAGTGCCTGCTGCTTCCCCGTCTGCTCATAGTATTAGCACTACCACTCCAGACCGAACCCGCTTTCCTCGGGGGAGTTCAAGTCGAAGCACTTTCCATGGTGAGCAGCTAAGGGAGCGGCGTAATGCCACTTACAATGGACCGCCCGCCTCACCATCACATGAAACCGGTGCTTTTGCACATGCTAGAAGAGGGACATCAACTGGTATAATAAGCAAGATAACTTCCAAGTTTGCTCGCAGGTTAGTACCTCGATTTTTAAGAGAAAACAAAAGGAAAAAAAAGCCCAGCCTATAACTAGGGCCATAATTGTGAAGTCATTGAGAATTTCCAGTTAAAGTCTGAATTAAATGTAAATTTAGTTAGAATGCTGCTTGTTTTATGTGTTTGTTCCAGAACCTGTCTTGTTTTACTTCTCTGTGCATATTGTAACCATTATGTTTGACCAGCTATTCTGCTCCTTTATCTTAAAGGAGCAAGAGAATACTTCTCAAAAGGGGTTTTTTCCTCACTTTACAGATACAATACAAAGATGCTACAATTAAGTTAAAATCAAATGAACTTAAATACTAAAAGCGGTACCTTAAAAATGTCATTATTTAATGTTAACAATATTTTACTTTTTTAACTGGATGCACGTGTAAGGGCTGTATTTACAACAATTTTAATGCTGTGCTTAGAGGGAATAGATATTAACAAATTATTTCAGGGAATTCTAAAATCTGTGAATAAATGAGAAGCTTAGAAGTGGACAGAAGTCTGGATGTCTGGAAATACTAATATTTCAGTATCATGCAGCCTCTCGTATCATGTTACCAGCTTCTTCAAATGTAAGTTAAGAATTCTGAAAGAAGAAAACCCACACATCCTGGACCTGCGCTCATTCCTGTGATGATGCTAACAGTAATAATACTGTCAGGAGGGGTGCTGGGAAAGATTTCGAATACAATGTTTAATATCAAGTGACTGTTGACTTAGCAGTTACAATAGCTTTCCCAAAAAGGGACTTAATTTTTCAGCTTCCCTCTTTCTAACAGTGATTTACTTATAATTCTTAAGCCTACTTATGGATGTGTCCATACTGCATTATTGTCATTTTTACAACAGAATTATATCTTGGAAAGCTCTATTTTCTTTGCAGAACCATGCTGTTATGTATTGAATTCTATCATTTGTGTGTTTAAAAAAAAAAAAATAATTCAAAGCTAGTAGTCAGTAAAATATCATGAATTACATAAGGTGATATGTTACAAGGGAAAAGAAGAGGGAAAGCTAGAAGAAATGCAGTGATGTTCCTCATAAAACCGATTTAACCTGGTGAGCTGATAGTGTGTCAGTGTGTGTCTAAGTAATGCCTCCTATGATGATCTTTTAAAAAAAAAAAAAAAAAGTATGTGCATGATTTTCTTTTTTCAGAAACTTGAAGACACCAATAATGGAGCATCATAATCCTGTATCTCCAGCATTTACGTAGTTGAGAACAGAGAGTTTGTTCTGGCTTTTAAAAAAAAAAAAAAAAAAAAAAAATTACAGAAAAGTTAGTCAACTGTGTTGTCAGGGTAGATTTCCAAATGGGAAGAAAGGTATTTCCTGTTAAGTAACTAATCAATTTCAAGAGCACAGGCTGTTTTTTTTGCAGCATAGCCCATTGTTATTTGCAAGGAATGATATCTTGAATTTTTTTGAAGAGTCAGATCAAAGAATTAATATTTCCATTATGTTAAACTACAATATTGAAATAATATTGTAAACTGTGTATGTAGAATTAATATATTGTAAATTGATGTATTTTTAAATGCTCTTTGCTATAGAACATTTTTATTCAATTTCCTATTATGTTTTATACTGCTAAAAATACATTTCCCTGTAGTGAAGGCCTTGTAGGGTTTTTGTTTTGTTGCTGGAGGAGGGGGGGAGTGTTGGTGTTTTGGTGTGTTTTTATTCTTTTAAACTTTGGGTTGTTTGAGACTTTTAGTGGTTGGGATTACATGGGTGGAGGTTCAGGGGAGGTCTGCTGTTCTTTTAGTTGGGTCACATAACTGCATGCCTTTTAACTTCTGTACTGTTCAGGAAATCATGGTTTAAAGCATACTTTGATTAGAAGGTGTCATGAAAGACTTTTTACTATCTTTTGGCAAAGGTAAATGCCTTTTCTGGTAAGTATGTAAAATAAATGCATAATGAGAATGCTTAATGAACAGGGTATCAAAGTATTTTGTATTGATGGTTTATGTCAAGTGATACTTCTGTGATTTAGCTACTAATGTATTTCTGTTTTGAAGGTATTAAATTAGTTAGCTAATTTAAATTGGTGCTAAAATTCCTGTACAGCAGCACTAGGAACATACCTAGGTGGCTTATACGATCTATGGATACTTTTCAAGTTGCTTCAGACTAAAAAGGCATAATACAAAACAGTTCCTTGGTAAAGTATAGCTCTAATTCAGCACGATAAAAAAAGATACGGTTAAACTCAAGCTCACCAGTAATCTTAGCAAAGTCAATGTAACAGCTGATTAGCTTAAAGATAAGTAACCTTTCTGACCTGGGCTCCAAACATTTGGTCTCTCAAACTCTTAGGCACATCTTATCTTTAATTACTTGAGTGTGCTTAAGCATGGGCACGTACCTAAGTGCTTTCAGGACTGAGGTCTAAAGGCCTGGCCCAGAAGGGTGCAAGTGGAGCCCCCCTGGACCACCTTGATCGACTGCTCCTCTGTGCTTGCTGGAATTACATGTGGCCGTTGCTCTGTCTGCAGTAGGTTGAGGACAACGTGTTAATTTTACCATCAGTTTAAAAAAAAGAAAAAAAAAAAATTAAACAACTACATGTCAGAGCTGAAAGAAGTGAAGGTAACATAAAGGGAAATTAAAATCACAGCTGTGAAAAAATACTATTAAACAGTGTTAGGCTTGACATTATTATACTGATAATTCTTTTTTTTTTTTTGTTCAGTAGCTATTTAACATTGTTCTAGATGTAGGTTTTCTTAACTTTTATTTTTCACCTTTATCATTGAATCTCAACCTTAACTTTGTTTTGAGGGATCCAAGTGAAGGCGAAGCCAGTGGCAGAACTGACACCTCAAGGTGAGGAGCCACTATTAATACTTCGCTCCTAGGTCTTTCGCATCAAGGTTTAAGTGATTTCTTAAAGTTTTTTTAATCAGGATGTAAAACAGAATAGTGCTTAAGTAATCTGCATTTCAAAAATGTTTTTTATTTGGGGGGGAGGGGGTTTTGGTGAGGTCCTTTATCCCTCACTTTTGCTTTCTTGCAAAGTATTTAATATAAAACTTCATTTAAGCATATTCCATTGACTAATAAAGCCCCCTGTAGGAGTTAACCAATCATTTAGGCACTTTAAATCATGTTTTGGTTTATAAATATTTAACGGTGTTTACTTTTGGTTTCAGTGGAAAATGTAGTATACTCTGTGCGTGTCTGTGTGTGTATATGTATATATTAAATTTTTACTATAGTTACATACTGTGTTCATTACTAAAGCTGCTGTTTGCCAGAAGTAAACACCTCATGGTCCCCAAGAAATGAATGTCACTTTGCACTGAGAAATAAAATAAGTGACATTCAGACAAAAAGGGTGGTGACTGCTAAATATTGAATTTGTATGGCAACTGCTGTACACAAATCTATAGATGCTTTGTTAGTGATAAAGCATTCCTTCATATGCTCATTTTCCAGTATATCTGCTCTTTTGCCATGTTTCAGCATTTGGTTCTGCATTTTTGGTGTGCTTAGCACAGTGCATAACTTTTTATTTTTATGCTCTCTAATGAACAGGCATTGTAGTTTGCATTCTAAACTGGTCACTGACTAAAAGTATCGACTTAGTTTTCAAAACAGAAAGCCTTTATTTCAAAAAAAAAAAGCAGCACATTCTTAACAAGATACATTGTATAATATGCAATGCATTTTATCTACATTAGCCCTTTTCAATTCAAAGTCTATTAGCTGTCAAATTCTTGACATGGAAAGGGAACAGAGATTAATCAAATGTTCAAATGAAATGAAGTGTGAAGTTGCTTCCAGCTCTTGCTTTCATTCTCTAGCTTCCTCTACTTTTTGTCATCCTACAGTGTCTGTTTTGGGCTAAAAGTTGTTTGAGATCTTATCCCTGCCATGCTCTATCCCTTAATATCGACGTGGTTCTCTGGGGATCACACAGAAAGTTCAAATAAAACCACTTGTTTTGACTCCTCTCTGAATAGTGACAGTTTATAGACTATCAAAATGAGAACAGCACCTTTCCCCAGTGCCGGATGGGGAAGCATCGGGCATCTTAAGTACTTGGGACAAGAACAGAAGTAGTTGGCAGTGGAATTACTTTAAAATCATTAGTGCTGTTTCTCAAAGTGCTTTCTACAATGGAATAAGTAATCTATTCGGTAAGGAAGCGTCAGAGTAAGAACATTAATTGGAAATTACTCCGTGGACATTTTGTCCAAGTCGTTGTATCAACTAAAATACTTTGTTTCTACACATCACTCTTTCTTCTGTGAAAAAGCTGCTGGCTATGTATTCAACTGGTTGACAAACAAGCTGTTTACAACCACATTAACAGCACAAAATTCTGCTTCATCAGTTAAAATAAAGCACATTATTATAAGGTCTTTTTACACAGAGAGAGGTCAAAAATACATAATAAATGCAAAAGGGGGGAAAGGCAGAAAAGAGGGGAGGGGATTAACTGAAGACTTGTGAATCGCAGGGTGGGATTTCTTCCTCTGCTGCTTTTGCAGTATGATTTACGCTTCAGGACTGTGTCCCTCAACTGCAGTTTTGTTGGTGTATGGCATGCTCCAGATCATGAAATCAGCAGAACTTCAGTCATGCTTTTACATAGATTCCACTTTCTTTGGAGCAGTATGGAGTAACGTGTGTCTGCTGCAGTTACCATTGCACATGTTGTCATCAGAACGTTTTAGAGCAGGGGTTTCCAAACTTGCTTTGCTTGTGTGCCACTACTGGGGCCTGCACCAGTGCAGGTAGCAGCTCCCAGTGCTGTGCGGAAGCGCACATGCATGCAGGAGGTGGTGCACAACTGTTCCAACCGTATCCATCGAACTCTTTGAATTAGCCTGCGTGAGACTAGTGCTGTGTCGGTCGCAGTTTAGAAACCCCTGCTCGAGAACTGTACTTCTCTTCCCTCTCTTGGCTATACTGCTTGTGTTTTTGACTGTTCTGTATGTCACTTCTTCCAGGAGCGCTTCTGGGGAGCCAAAAGACAGGGAGAAGGAGGATAGCAAAGATTCGAAGCCACGCTCCTTGCGGTTCACGTGGAGTATGAAGACCACTAGCTCTATGGACCCGAACGATATGATGAGAGAGATTCGGAAAGTGTTAGATGCTAATAACTGTGATTACGAACAAAAAGAGAGGTTTTTGCTCTTCTGTGTTCACGGCGATGCACGGCAAGATAGCCTTGTTCAGTGGGAGATGGAAGTCTGCAAACTGCCACGATTGTCGCTCAACGGAGTTCGTTTCAAAAGAATATCTGGGACTTCTATCGCCTTTAAGAACATTGCATCCAAGATAGCAAACGAGCTTAAGCTGTAAAGAGAACCTAAATTTTTTGGGATCAGGGAAGATTCATACATGATCTACACTTTGAATGTACTGGTTACGCCTAATGTGATTGGCCTGTGAACTCCCCATGTAGAAATTGCCCTAATTGCAATAAGGTTATACATAGTTATTCAGAATTGTAAAGTTAAATCCAGTATGACCTATATTAAATAACTGTAGCTAAAGAAGTTATGTTCACATGTACAGGTAAGTATATAGAGCATTCTGTTCATTTTATGTTCATAGAGTTGTATAATAAAAAGATGACTGCTTAAATTCAGATCTTGTATAGTTGTCTAGATTTCTGCACAGAAATGTATGTTTGATGCTTTGAGTTGGAAAAGTTCTTCCCTATCATTTACATTTTTGGTGGTTTTTATAAGTCTTACCTCTATCATGCGTTTTTTAAAAAAACTTGTGTCCCGAGTCAAATGCACAAACATAGTTTTCACAACTGTAGCGTGACCATTTTTAATTATTTAAAGATTGTTCATGATTTGAACCAAAAGTCGATGAAGAATCGGCTTTTGTTCTACACGAGACTGTTCCTGCTTATCTTTGGCTCTTATCCTTGTTATTGGACAGTGTTTAGTTGGGGAAAAAAAAATAAAATACAAACATGTTTACAGTGTTGGCACTTACAGTTTAAAAACTTTGTTCTGCCTTGGGCTGGCTCAGAGCTGCGGGGGAACAGAAACCAGGCGTAAGCGATGTTCTGGCTGCACGTGACAGTGCTGACTCCCGTGGCCCGTTAACAAATGTAGCACCGAAATGGAGAACCGTAATTATTTCATTTGAATATCATGGTGTAAAAATATCACTTGTTTGCTGCCTTCAGAATACTATAAATTCCATTTTATGGAACTATATTAATATTGGGACTGTTTAATAGCACAAGATAATCTGAAGTGTTGACCAATTGTATAAGTTAATAATACCACCTCAGGAATTAGCTTGGCTTTTGGAACATGTGCCCCCCAAAGAGTACATGCAATTCCGCATAATATTTTACAGCTAAACATACATTGTTTATAATGATAAATTGTTGATTTATGCTTTCGTGGTTGTACAGTTTGTTCCCATGTAACCTGTTTATGTTTAATATTTTACCAGATTTCTTGTATTTATTCCACATCATTATGCCTGTAATGTGCAGCTTTGTAATTAGGCACTTGCCTACAGAAAAGAAAAGAAAAAAAAAAAAACAACACCCACATTTTTTTCCTTCATAATTAATGATTATAAACTATGTAAAACCACTAGTACTGGTACATTTTAATACTTGTTATTTTGTACTGAATTAACCATAGAGGTTGGTTGTGCAATGTTATTTAATGTCGTAATTACTGTAATATCAACATATGGGCCCCATCTGCACACTCTTGTGAAGAATAGAAAGTTCATTAAGAAATTGTCACTTTAAAAAATAAAAATTAAAAAAAAAAAGCTGTGGTAAAACTCTGTAACCCTAAGTTAGAAGGCTGTAAGTGTAGTAAATGTGCCATTCTCTAATGGCTTCTTGACCGAGATGGACTTTACATACTGTACTGTGATGTAGCTTTCCTATGTAACAGTTATGTTCGGAAATGGACGTGTGTTGTTGCCTTAGAAAAAGGGTGGTGTTTGGAAAGAAAGAACTGTAGCCCCTTTTCTTTTTTTATCTGATGTTCATTGAAACAAAATCTGATGCAAGTCATCTTGATTCACTGGTGCACTCTATTAAAACTTACTTGAACAGTTCTCATACTAAAATACTTGTTGTTTGCCCTTTCTAAAAGCGCAGTGATTACTGCAGGTAGCAAAATGGTCTAAAGGTGTACAGACTTCATCTTCTGCATTGTGTGAATTCAGGATTGGCGTTGCAGCGGTTCTGTGGTCCTACGCCCTCCGCAGAGTACCGGTGGTTTAGTGCTTCTCAGAAATGGATGTGCGGGAGCTTTACCAGAAACTCGCCAAAAATGAGCTTCAGGAGGGGTTTGTGTGTCTGCTCAATTTACCCATAAATGTCTGTGAATGTTCAGTTATCCTTGAAAATACACCACTGGAACGTAACCGTGATGTCAGTCCAAGATCGTGTATGAACTTAATCATGAAACAAATCCCCTTGCCTTTTCGGAAGGTTCAGTGGAAAAAAATGTAAGTCGTGCTGTGAGATGGGAGATGAAGTACTTCGGGTAGCTTCCCACTTTACAGGCCATGTTTTCACAGAGCTAACTTTGCCCTAGTTTGTTTGCTGGTTTTCAGCACTTCGTGTAACCAGAGATGCGTCAGTGTTCCACAAAGCACAGATAGCGTTTCAAGAGGACAGAGGTTATAAATTTGAGTTCAACTCTGCCATGAAACACGGCACCCTGAAGTGCCAATTTTAATGTTTCTGTATATGGACAGTTTGCAAGCGGTGTTATTGCCAGCAGCGCGGAACTGCCCTGATTCCCAAGCCCTGCTCACCTTCCTCCTTTTGCCTTGTTGGAAGACGAGCTGTGAACCTCGTTATGCTCTCCCTACCAAATACACCAAAGTGCTTCAGCGAGGGCACGGTCTGAGCACCAAAGGTGTAGGTGCACCCGAACGCCTCATTTGCCTTTCCCAATCTCCTGTTCCCGGCAGGAATAAGATGGGAAGATCAGAGTAAGAGACCTTTTCTGAACTGCTGGTTTTACTGGCAAGCAGAGCGTACTTGTATGGAAATCAGTGAGATGTTGCATACAGACTCCTCGTTGCCTGTTTTTTGGGTCCCTCAACCACTGCCTCGTTACGTACCTGTTACATATAAGTTAGTCCTTGGGTAAGAGCGGGATAAGGACATTTGGATCTGAAATGCAGCTTGACTTTCACAAGGGAGGGGATCAGTGTGGCATTTTATCAGCATGGCTTTAACTTGAGAAATCCCAAAAGCAGTTAAATGCCACGTTGTGTTCCGCAGCTCCAGGAAGGGATAGGGATGTCTCGGATCTTCAGAGACCGTACGTATTTGATCGCAACTTCTTGGCAGCGTTTCATGGGGATGTTTAGGGTGGGCGGGGGGTGAGCAGTTAGACTACTGCATGGTTCTGCTGGTTTAGGTTGGGGTTGGTTTTTTTGCTTGCTTTTTTCCTTTGAGGTGTACAGACACTTCCAAACTAAGTAGATCCGTTTTCATGCAGTGCAGTTTAAAACATTAAAATGTACATACGCCAATGACAGGACAATAAATGCTCACTACTGCTTCTGTGGATGAAAAATAATGCTTGAGAACAAAGTGACATCATTAATGCCATATAGTTATGATAACACTAAAACTCCACGAGCCGTTAGACCCGAGGCTTCTGATACCCAGTGTCATACACCGAAGAGGTGCCTTGGACCTCTTCATCTCAGAACGTGTTGTGGTTCCCCTGCTGCCACGCGAGCAGAGACAGTAAATCTCTGTTGAGATGTATTCTCTGAGGTTTTGATATTTGAATTCTGGAAAATGAAACAAACTTGTGAGGTACAAACCTGGTTTGTGGGGAAAGGCCCTGACCCTCTTGAGAAGACAGATTATCTTTCACTATCTTTGCGCTTCTCCTTTAGGGGCAAAGTGTACATTCAGTAGTGGATTGATAAATCGAAAACCTAGACAAACACTTTTCAAAGCCCCAGAAAAATATTTAATTTTTGTTTTTTCATTTCCTTTAAAAATTTTCAAGGTAGGTTGAGGTTAACAAGATGAAAGATCCCATTCAACAGCTGCTGACAGATTATTGATATTTTATTTCTCGATGCTGCTATGTAATCAGCATCAAGCAATTATTTCATTTCTCAAACTATCTAAGAAAGTAGGTAGATAGTAGAAATCTATAGCAATGTATCAGAGCATGCAAAATTTAACTCCTATGCCTCACAGCTTCAGGCTCCCTACCGTGTTATTGTTGTTAAAATAGGCACCTATGGCCCTTCTCTGGTTCAGTGTCCCTGCGGTGTTTAGGACACGCCTGCACCTCCAGGATGCAGGGCAAGTTCAGCGCTCGGCTCCAGGAGGTGGGGGAGAGAACTGGGTGGCTCAGGCACGGGCCCTGCAGGCACAGCCAGAGCCCGGAGGATGGAGGAGCTCTGCGGGCCACCCCTGGGGTGCAGTAGGTGCCCGCTTGGGACTGGTCCTCAGCATGAAATCCTGGCCTGGGTTTCGGTCTCTACCTCAGCTCTCTGGAGATTTAAATTAAAAACCTGATGACGGTAACAGGAGTGGTGACGCCTTTAATATAAAATAGAGGAAGGGTAGAGCACTTTTCCCGTAGCGACAGACCCCAGCTTAGCTCAGGTCTTCCACCCTTCAGAGGGCTGTCCAAGCGGCCCCTTACGCAGCCTTCTGGCTGGAGCTGTGACGGTGGTGCAATGCCATCCGTGGGGCATCGCTGAGCATTAAGGGCACATCTCAGGGAGACACAGGCTCGAGGCTTTGCTCCTCGGTAAGAAAAACCCACAGTAAAGGATTAGCCTGTCCCCTTGTTGCGTCTGCTCGTCCAAAGTATTTGTGTACATATCAAATGTTGATAAACATACCAGCTGGTTTAATAAATTTTATGTACAATTTTGCTCTTCTTGATCCACCTCAGCGATACGGGCAGCAGAGGCGCAGGGCTGTCGGCATCCCCCTGCACCTGGGCCAAAACCACTGAGAAACTTTGTACATGAAGGGTTTGGTACTTGCCCCTTGGCCACGGGAAGCAGAATGCAGCCCTGTACGCCGGAGATGCTTTTCACCCGAGACTGTAGTAGGAACACCTATAATAGCGGGATTACAAAGGAGTTTGGCTTTTTTTGTTTGTTTGTTTTCTTGAACGGGAAAAGAGTGCGATCCCCCAAACCCGCTGCCGTCGCAGGGAGTGCGATACCGTGGGAAGGAGCCATTTCACTGCTCCACGAGCGTTCGCGGCGTGGAGGTTGAAGCACCGGGGGAGGGGGGGGCTGCGACC